TTCCAAAGCGCCACCCCTGATGATGGCCGGTACACTGGCGGACCGGCCGAAACGCGTAGGGTGAGCGCCAGACTGAGCAACACGGTATGGCGTTTAGCGCCTTTACGGCCTTTACATCATCATCTTCACTGTTTTCAGCTATCATTGAACTTTTTACGAGCTGAACGCGCTTGGGGGACTTTGCTTTATTCTCTCATCTTCTTTTTTGTCTCAGTCTTGTCTTGTCTTTTTCATCTCACCTTTTCTCCGAATGAAGGGCCTTATGTGTTTTTCACTTGGCTCAATGTTGCTTGGAGTTTAACTCTAGTACCTGTACTACTCTAACTCGTTATACCCCGATATATCCCAATATACCTCTCAATCCCCACCCATCAACTAGCGTTGTATCCCAGTGTTCCCCTCAGTACCCTCCATTTAAACTATCTTAGCAAATGTGGTGCCTTTACTACCCATTGTACCCCCTATATATTCCTAACTTCTTCTGCCCTTAGCTATACAGCTTTCAACCATAGGGAGAAAACCAGTTTCCTAGTTGTCAATGAGACGGCTGCCAGACGGTTGTTTTTGGCCCATGCCTGCAAAAACCACAGTCTTGCTCTCGAACGACCCGGTTCCGCCCTAGACATAATCTTTTTCCTCCAGTCCACCACGATCATATGCCTGACTGTTGCCCTCATGCCAAGCTTTAGGGCTGTGTCCGAGAGATATTTCCGTTGAAAGAGCACTGAACTCCTTTCCTTCCATATCCACCAAATAGCCACTGCTCGGATTGCTGCCGCAAGATAGCCCCATCCTTTCCCGCTTGATAACGGGTGTGAAAGCTGCCCCGTTATCGCCCATTCCAGATCCCACTTCACTTCGTCAGGTCCCCCCATCTCCTTCCAGTGGTGAGCCCACCACTTCCAAATCCGAAACGAGAGGGGACATGTACCCCCGAGATGTGTTACATTCTCTGGTTGCCGGTGACATCTCACGCATCTTACATCCACCTCCATTCCTCTTATAAACAGCGCTTCCGCATCTAAGGGGGCTGCGTGTGTTATCAGCCAGACAATCGAGGCGGCTTTTTTGCTTGGTAATCTCTGGCATACCTTCCAGCTTTCTTTGTAAAATTCCACCGAGAGTGCCGTCCCAGTCGAAGATCTGGGGAGGGCCTCTCGTATCTTGCGGGAAGAGCTCCCCTCCAATCTTTGTGCAAACATTCCCAACTTGGAGGTATACTGGTGGGTGGCCTCTCAATTTGGGCCACCCATACAAACTAATGTCCAGCCGCATTTGTCTGATGGGTTTGCCACCCATGTGCAACCCCTGCTAAGGAGTTCCCGCAAAAAAAAATTGAGTGTAAACTCTCACTTCCTTCACCAACCCCAGTCCCGTTGTTGTGCGTTCTTCCACAAAGGCCAGGGTGATCTCTGATGAACCTTTTTTTGCTTGCCTCTCCGAGAGTTCCAGCTTGTCCTTCTCCATACACGTATACACTAATGAATTAACCCCCACGGTGAGGACAGGGCAGTATCACTTGCCTTCTGAGATTTCCTCCCTTAACAGTTGTTTCCAGCTCTCGGGGATGGCTTGTAACAGAGCCTCCCTCCTTGTTTCCACATACCACAGTCTTCCCTGTTTGCCCCGCAGCTCCGTCACCGTCCTCCACTCTTTCCTCATATCATCCCACAGGTCTTCGATCCTGAACACCCCTCTTTCTATCTAGGCCCTACCAAAACTCCCGCCTCCTGTGATTGCGAATTGCATCCATCCTGGTCTTTTATCCAACAATTCTCG